GTCGAGTCGGCTCATTGACTCGGCGAGTTCATTCAGACCAAATGTTCATTCAGACGATTTCAATCAGATCTATCACTCCAAACACTAGATCTATCATCTCAAGGCTCAATAATCACGTAAAGCTTCGATCTTTACGTTCATACATGAGGTTATTGCTCCAAAATGCTAATACATGCCTTTCATGAAAGATTAAGCCCAAAAACCCTCATATGGATGAATAATGCTGGGACATCTAAACTCTAAGGACCTCACAAGGTCCAGATCTGAGGTCTAGACTTCTGGATAACACATGCTACTCAAAAACCCAACCAAAATGACAAAAGCCCTAAATTTTCATAGATATGAGATCCAACTAAATAGGTGAGAAAGGTGTGGGCTTTTTACCTTCCAGAGAAGCTCTTTGAGAAGAATGCTAGATCCCACAGCCTCATCCTACTCCTTGCTTGAAGCTCACTCCTATTCTTCCAAAAAGGTCCATCAAAACACTTGATACAAGCTCAAGCACTCTCTCTTAGCTTCCATGGCCGCCTAGGGTTTCACCAAGGAGAGTTGATCAGAAGATGAGCCGCAAATGAGGGTATAAGTGCCTTTAAATAGGTCACAGGCCCCGAAAGTTTAGGGTTTCCTTCACCAGCACTGACTCGGCGAGTCAAAACACAGACTCGTCAAGTCAGCTCATTAATCCTCGTCACCCAACGCGACTCTACTCGACGAGTTGAGGCACTAACTCGTCGAGTCTCCCATGAAACTCATTATTACAATAGAAATGTTATACCTCAGAACCAGGATGTTACAAAGGAGATCCTTGGTGGGTATAAAATGTTATGTTATGTTCAAAGTTTTAAGTCTTCCGTTGCCATATTTTTCTAGTTTATGAAACTATTTTTGAACTAAAACCCAACAAAATATTCATCCATTCCTTTCTCAGTCCCAAAATGAAGGTGAGGTTGAATTCTAGTGTGGTACGAACAACTCCATATCTTGTACACTTAAAGATGAGCTCATTCAGTCTATCGTAATATGCTTCGATAGTCTTATTCTCCTTCCGCTCAAATTCAGACAATTCTGACAAACATTGTGTCACCGATCTATTTTTTAGTTCTCTCATTCCCTTGTTACTTCTATTTCAAAGTATCCCAAATCTTTTTCACTGTCTTACAACCTCGAACATAGTTGTAACCAACTGGTGGAAGAGCTTTTCGCAGCTCACAGAGACATCTTTTTTCATTCACCTTCTTCTTGTTGCCTTGAGCAATCATGTCTTCAGCAACACCAACATTTCCAACAGCTTGAACCAGGTCAGCCCGATAAGGTCCAGTTTCGACAGATCACCAAAGATCTTCATCAATTCCATTGAGATAATCTTCCATACTATCCGCCCATTGCTCGTAATACTCAGGAAGCAACATTGGAACTTTAGTCGCAGATCCAAGCAAGTTTGCAAAGCTCATCATTGTATTGACGTTCAAATTTGCCATTTGATTGAGTAAAACAAGGATTATCTTTGAAAAGAAAGAAATCAAATGTGAATCGATTGACAAAACAAACATAAAATCATTTAATCACAACGATCAAATGAATAATTACGTTTCAATCTTGCGGAAAAAGTGAATCGGAAAGAACGATTCAATAAGATTAAAACATGAAAAAGATTCTTCTATCGATTTGTAGATTCCTACTCTGATACCAATTGAAAAGTTTTTAGAATTATGTTTTAATCAATCGTAAGCTAAATCAAAGCAAGTAAGAACACAGAGATCTAAATAAGATATGGTTTCAGCTCGATTACTTTTCGGGATGAGTACAAGAGAATTGCAGTGAGAGAAAGCTTATGCGTACAAAATATCCAAAAGTTACGACTCCCTAATGTACTTACCCTATTTATAGAGTACTCACGGAAACAAAAAATACTAGGACTTGACATCACATAGCGAACCACTACAGTGCCTAGTAAATATATAACATAACGAAGTCCAACTTACCTTCTCTATTTACAAACTATTCGACATCCAAGACACTACCCTAAGGTTCGTCATCTCACAACATATATAGATTCTACACTCATCATCATCTCCAATATTATATTCTAGACCTTTATAAGTGTTCAAGATCCAAGCTTTATTGTTCTATGTCTTTAGATCAAGGTTTTTGTACCTTTTCCTTCAAATATGAGCTACTTAGAATGGTGGGATTCCATAAAGTTAGCAACTTTATGGATCCTTCAGGCCCCTTGGTGAGTATAAGGTTCAGATACGAAGTGCGTTGGTGTTTTGAGCTTCATGCATGAGATTTTGGTGTTATTCTCCATTTTTGACCTAGCTTGAGATTTAGACTTGCATTGGACATGCGTGACTTAAAAGCATCGATCTTTAGATTGTAATGGACGTTAGGAAGCCTTCTGGAAGGAAAGAATAGATAGATTAATGGATTGAGAGCTGAATCCATTAAGCTAAGAAAGTCTAGTTCCCACGACGTGGCAGCCTGCTCGCCACAACATGGCGACTGGGGGTTTCACGTCTGTTTTGGACTTACTTTGCCACGACGTGGTAGCTTGAGTCCCACGAAGTGGCAATGGATTTGTTTGCGACTGAGATTTTGGATTGGGGCTAAGTTCATCAGCCACGACGTGGAAGCATGCATACGTTAGCAATGACCGTTGACTTTTGATGTGGTTGACTTTTGGTTAAATTGCTAGTTCTAGAGTGTAGACTAAGGTGAGACCTTGTGTGATTCGATAGGTGGGTTGTAGCACCTGTTTCGTGACGTTGAGCTGGGATTTGTCTGAATTTGTGATAAAGGTGAGTCTTCTCACTATACTATGTAGGATGTTAGCTGTCTTTGTGACTCTTGGATTGTATGTTGGGCGGGGCCCGATATGATGGGTGGGGCCCGATATGATGGGCGGGTCCCAATATATGGGAGGGCCCCGATGTTATGTATGGTATATGGTATTTTGAGAAACTCAATAAGCTTTATGGTTTAAACATTTCAGGTACTTCTAGTTCTAAATGGAAGGGCTCGACATGATCGCACAACATCCCCTCGATTTTTATTCCACACTGTTATTTAGATTTACTCTGGTGTTGAGAATATTTATATTGTGGTTGGTTTTGGAACAATAGGTTATATCTTTTTGGGTGTTTTGAAAATGAAATTTTTACTGGTATTTTTGGGACGTTACGGTGCTATTAAGACTGTGTTTGGCGTGCCACAAGTAGCTGAAGATAACTTATTTTTTGATTTTTTTAAGTTGTCATGTTTAGGAAACAAAAAAGTAGTTTATAAGTTAAAATTACATAAATGGTCATTGTGGTTTACCAAAGGTCACAAACTCAGTCCTTGCTAATTTTTCTTTACGAACTTGGTCTAAGTGGTTTCTAAAACTTGCACGGATGGTCCTTATCCATATAAAAAGGCTTATTTGCCATTCTTATATTCTTTTACCTTTAGTTTGTTTAAATATAATTTACATAAAAAGAAAAAAGAAATAAAAAAACACCCACCCTACCCCTATCATATACACCCAACCCCACATACATATATCAGAGGGTGAAAATGGAGACAAGGTTTGTTGCTCGATTCATAAGAGGGAGGAAAAGGATGATTGAAGGACCTTTCATCATTCTTGTCTCTGTTGGAGTACACACAGAAGTCAAAGAGGGTGCAGATCTTTTTCTTTGCATAACGTGGAGAAGAAAGTCTAGGGCAAAGAAGGATAAAGAGGACAAAAAGAGAGAAAATGAATATTAGAGGAGTGGGGGTGGGTGAATTGGGAGGGTGAGTTTCTATTTATTTCCTCATTTTTTTAAAGTAAAATTACATAAATAAAAATGAAAGTTTAATTGAAAATGGTATAATAGTAATTTCAGATAAAATTTGTAACAAAAAGAAATCATATGGATCAACCATGCAAGTTTTAGAAACCATAGGGACCATGTTCGTCAAAAACAATTTAGCAGGGATTGAGGTTGTGACATTTGGTAAACACATAGACCATTTATGTAATTATGTCTTTAATTATAAAAAAACATATTCATTGGATGCCATTTTATACCATTTTATATTTTCTAGCTAGCTTATCAACTGGTTTTTACTAAACATCATTTTTTATCGGTTAGTTTATAAGCTAGCAGCTAGTTTTCAACTATCAACTAGCTTTTCAGAAAATACGTCAAACATAGCCTAAAGTTTGAATCAGAATAGTTGTCGGGACATGTAATCATCTTATTAATTTTTTGTTTAGGTTTTAATTAATTATATACAAAAAGGAATTTTATTGTTAGTTGTTTTTGGATTGTTAGTGACATGGTTATACATAGGAAGTTGTTGATCGCTAATTTGCGACGGTGAGGTTTTAATTATGGTATGTAAATAGATCGTATGTATTTGGATCAAATCAAAATAAAATTGACTCAAATGAAAACAAAATTTCGGAAATTTCAGTCTTATTTTTGTGATTGATTGATATAAACCAATTTTACTGTAGAAGACGAAGGATGAGGCGGAGGGAGAGAGGGTGGTCTGATCGATCAGAGAAGACGAATGACGAGGGGAATGGTGTTTGGTCAGTGGCGGACTTAGAAAGAAAAACCATGAGTGCGCACTACTAGAAAAAACTAATTTCCAAGTGCATTTTTCATCATAAAATCATCACTAAACCTACAATTTTGCACTAAATCCACAATTATCAAACTCTGTGATGGATTGTCAATGAATTCATGATGAAATTGTGACAGATTTTCTATAAATTTTCACTAAATTTACATTTGACGGAAAATTTTGAAAGGTAACAACACACTAAATCCGTCCCTGTGTTTGGTTGTACATACGTGTATGGTGGTTGTACGATGGTATCACAAAAATAAATAACCAATAAAACATTAAATAAATTAAGAAAATACAGAGAGAGAGAGAGAAATATTAAGAACCCTATAAGTAAAAATAAATAGCCATACAAATCCAAACCAAAAGTACCATTCATCTAATTTACTCTAAAAACAGTAACAAAGCACATGGACCAAACGTGTAATTTACTCAAGAGTCAATGTTATACTATTTTAAAACTGGTTGACCGAGAGGCTCCGGCGCCGGTTGACAGCCGCGAATACCGCGAAACCAGATCCATGTCCTTATATAAAGCCTTTACTGATCACCGTTAAGTCTAGTGTTTTCATCCCAGCGACAAAATGTGTATATCAGTGTTTCTATGGCAAGCTCATCCACTCTACCCGTTTCTTCTATTGCTCAATCGAGATGAATATCATATACGGTGAGTTAAATTTGAATTTCAACTCATTTTTGTACATTTTGCAAAACAATTCAACCATTTACAGATTCAATTTTGTTCCTATATACTTGAACTTTGACAGATGAGTTTTTCTTGCTAACTACTTATTATAATATGATATGATCGGAGATGAATATTTCTGACTAATTGCTTTGCTATATATGTAAGACCAACGGAGCCACTAAATTGGTGGGAAGGTGGAAAAATATTGGGTGGCAGAGATGTGACAGCCGGCGGAACATGGTTGGCCTCTAGCAGAGAAGGAAGGGTGGCTTTTGTTACGAACGTTCGTGAATTGAACTCAATATCTGCTGCAAAGAGTAGAGGTGATCTCCCAGTTCGTTTTTTGCAGGTTGGTTTTTAAGTTTACATCGTAGTAAATCATGCCCACCAACTGTTTGATTTTTTTCCTGTTGGTATGATTTTGGTAATTTTGATGATTATAGAGCAAGAAAAACGCCATGGAGTTTGCAGAAGAGATTGCGAAGGAAGCAGATGAATACAATGGATTCAATTTGATAATTGCTGATCTTTTGTCCATGAATATGGTTTATGTAACCAATAGGCTGAAAGGAGATAAGTGCTATGTGACTTCAGTTTCACCTGGTGTCCATGTGCTATCAAATGCAAGTCTAGACACTCCATGGCCTAAGGTGAGCAACTACAGCTGCCTATTTTATGCAACAGATTTTCACTTCTTTAGCCAACTTATGCAACAATATTGTGGCCCTAAAAAGAAAAGTTGTTGCATAAATTGGAATACTTGTGAAACATTGTTGCATAAAGGTTAATGTTTTCTTTTTTCTAATATGTATTGTATGTATCTAATTCTGTACTCAGGCTCAAAGATTGGAACATGGTTTTAAAGATGTTTTGGATGAATATGGTGAAGGTGAAATTCCAGTTACTGAATTGATTGATAAACTGATGAGAAACACTGTAAAAGATGACATCAGCATGCTTCCCGGGATCTATGGTCCAGATTTTGAGTATGAGTTGAGTTCTGTATTTGTTAATCCAGTATCTCCAAAGGTAACAATTTTCCCAACTTTCTAATTTTGTTCCATTTTGTCAAGATTTGAAGGTGCTGACGTGGCATTGACATGGGAAAACATATTGGGTGATATGCAGGACTATGGTACACGAAGTACCTCTGCATTGGCTGTAAAAGCAAGTGGTGAAGTATTCTTTTATGAAAGGCATCTTGAAAATGGGTTATGGAAAGAGAACACAGAAACATACATGATTGAGAAAATGAAGTGAGGGTTAATGTGTGAAGAAATATAAGTATGTTGCTGTTATGGGTAAAGATATGTAAGTAGTAAGTACGTTGTTATGGGTAAAAAAATACAAAGGAACACATGTTGCTATTTCCTGCAACTTGTCTTATTATTTTTTTTTTTAATCTTATTTGGTATGAAAGTTATAGTGTGTGCCTTGAATAAAAAGAAATGATCAACTATCAGTTGATATGATGTATGTGATCTTATTTGTAAGAAATAATGAATTTTGAGAAGTTTGTATTATGTAGTCGATCAAATTTGTACTTAAGATGGTATTTGGTTATTTATAAGAAAGATAACGATAAAGGAAATAGATACAAGTTTCGTTGCTTGATTGATTGTTATTTATATCCGCAAGGGTTTTTGTGTGTTTATTTAGTGTGTGTGTGTGTGTGAGAGAGAGAGAGAGAGAGAGGATGTAACCACTTATTTTATCCATTTTCAAAACTGGGTAACAAATTGAATTTGGGCAACAAACTCAATTATCTCTAAAATTAACAACATTTTATACATTTTATTCTATCTAGAGGTAACCAACCATGAAAGTTGTCCTCAATTGGTCCGTATGACTTATTATAGCAGGTACCACAAGTTACCAACTTTTTTTTCACAATTTTGACATAAATTTTAACTTTTGTTACGAATTTGACCCAAACTTTTTTCTTTTACAAAGCTGCCCAACTTTTTTTACAATATTGTTTTTAAGACTTATTGTTTTTATAATATTACCTCTTTACAACTTTATTTATAATTATTTTGCTCCAGTTTACAACTTAATAACTTTTTTATATAAATTATGTTTTTGACAACTGTTTTATACAACTTTTTGCCTCAACGTTTTTTACAAACTTTTTCTACGACTTAGTTTTTTTTATAAATTTCTAAAAACAAATATGTAAAAAAAACAAGTTTTTACATGATTTGCTCAACCTTACATGCATAAAAACAAATATGTAAAAAAAAATATAAATCAAAATTGTGAAAAAAAACTAATTTGTAAAAACGAAAAAGAATTCAAAAAAACATGCAAAATGGATACGTAAGAGAAAATTGGAATAAAAAAAGGTGTAAAAGTAGTTGTAAAAAAGTAATTTCGTAAAAAGTACATTTGAAAAAAAAAAGTTATAAAAAAACATGTTGTGAAAAAATTTATGGCAAATATGTAAAATTATTTGGACCAAGTTTGTAACAGAAATTAAAAATTCGGTTAAAATTGTGAAAAATGAAAGTTGGTAACATGTTATAGTACTATAGCAGTAGGTCACAACAACCAATTCATGACAATTTTTATGGTTGGTTACTTTTTGATATAAGGCTATGGGTTTACTCATTATGACACGTAAGTGATGCTGATGTAGAGCTCCTTTATGAGAATGAACACCAACACACCCCCTCTCACGTGGAGCTGATGTGGAGACCCGTGAAATTTCACGGTTGACCATGCGTAACTCCGCTCTTGTTTAGAAACTCTTCAAGGACGTGAAGACTGTGAACATCTCCTCCTCGGGTTGTGATGGAGAGATGGTTGAAGTCGGTGATGATGTGGTTGTGGGGTGTGGTGTGACCACACCGAAAAACCAACATAATGTGTAAATTGATGTTTACAAGACAATTGAAATAGTTCGTTGGTCAAAATTCAGTAGGGCTGTGCATGGGTCGGTTTTGGACCCAAACTCAACCCCACCCATAAATGGTTGGTTTCTGGTTTTCAGAACCCAATAGGATCAATTTCTGGTCGGTTCAGTTTCTTGGGTTCTAAGGTCGGTTTGGGCGGTTTTTCGGTTTCTTGGGTTCAACCCATACACTCACGGGTTCTGGGTTTAAACTCATGGGTTTTGGGTTTTAACATATTTTCCATAAATGAAGCAACAAGTTAAATACTTCAAAAAACACCAAATTTAAGTTAAATACTTCAAAAAACATGAGTCTTACAACAAATAGTCTATTACAAGTTACAATCAAAGCCTGAAATAGTCTATTACAACCAAAACACAATCAAGTATGAGTCGGTTTCTCGGGTTGGATGGGTCGGTTTCTTGGGGCGGTTTGTCGGTTTTAAGTATGGGTCGGTTTCTCGGGTTGGATGAGTTGGTTTCTGGGTAAAACCCGAAACCGAACCCGATTTTTCGGTTTTTAAAAAATTCAAACCCTAACCGTCGGTTTTTGTCACAACCCGAAATTTTAGACTCAGCAAAGCTTAAACCCTAGCCTAGTACAAATGAAAAACCACATTTCACTCATCGATGCATTGTATCCTCTATTTCCCTTATAAACTAATAAATAAGTGTAGTTTGAAATCTAGGTGGATTTTAAGCTAAAATAGGGCATCCTAAGCTAAATTAGAGTGGTATAAATGAGCATAGGTTAAAAGACTAAGGGTTTAAAACATAAATATAAGTTTTCACCCAAAGTAATCAATACATTAAAGGAGTTTACGCCCAATGAATTAATTGCCAATGCGGTTCACGGTCCAAAAGCTAATCCATGAGGTAGTTCACGGTTGGGGAATAAAACCAAAGAAGTGTTCACGGTTTGAAGTTTTAATTTCACAAAGGTGTTTACGGTTTGGCAAATCCGTAAACCCCTTATTCTTTTGATTCAAGACCGTAAACACCCCCCCCCCCTTCTAGAAGCCATAGGCCGCAAACCACCCCTATATATGTATTATGGCGAAAACATTTTCATTTCACACACTTTCCATCCGTAAACACTTCCAAAATCCTCTCAATCTTCATCCGTGAACAACCCCATTTCCTCTCAATCTTCAAGAGTTTACGCCCAGTTCCTTCAAATCTTCATATTTCCCCACCAAGAACATTCAACCCTCATTCAAATCTTCAAACAAATCTTCAGATCTTCATAATTTTCAAGATCCAACTGTGAACTCACTTACCTCCAACCGTAAACCCATTTTTGCCATCCGAAAACTCCATTTCCTCATTTCCAAATAATTCCAGTTTAATTGTAAGTCCTTCTTATATAATTAAATTATTATTTAAACCCATTATTTAAATTAATATATTATTAATTTAAATACGACGACGAATATAATTATTTTAGGATAACGTTATTTCGTACGTACGCTAGCTCGAGGACCGCTTCGCTATCCAAAATACGAACACGTAACGAAGGTGAGTTAATACCCCTACATTTTCACTATTTTTCAATCTTTTTAGGGGGGAATACAAGTAAAACACAAGGACTTTTGTGTCTAAACGATTTCAAATCCGTTTTAAACCATTTGCAACTGTTTCAAACTGATTTAGTATTTACATTTTATCAAAATGCATATATATATATATATATATATATATATATATATATATATATATATATATATATATATATAAGGCTCAACAGACTTAGAATTGACAATTTCGTCCTGAATCTTGTTCCTTGTCTGGTTGTGGGTTTAGGATAAAATTATTTATTCGACTGTCTTTTCATTCTTAATTATATATGCAGTGAATATATATGAATATAAAATATTATTCGTTAAATTTACAACCCTTTTGTAATATGTCGAGCAAAAGGGTATTTTTCATAAGTCTCTTACCATCATCTTATACACTGTTAAATTACAAAGGTTTCCAGTTCATTCCGAGCTTACATTAAAACTGTAATAGGTATAGTTTGTGCGTCACTACACTATTTTACAAGGTTCAAGAAACGATACAGGAATGCTACTCTATTTTACTAAGATCATGGTTACATAACTAAATAATTATTTAAGTATAATTATTTTATATTACAAAGTACACTACTACAAGATAATACAAACAGTTTCAAATACAAGAGAACACTATAACACTACACGTAAACTAGTTAATACGGGGTTATGAGGCACTACTTCGGGTACCCACCAGGGTACAGGTTCAAGTCCTATAAATTATAACCAGAGTCTCCCGGATGGAGAGCGTGAGGTTTGTGTATAGATTTATACGGGACTGACAATCCCACACCCAAACTGCTAGCTACAGTTAGGCAGACATGCTTGGGGGTGACAAATGTCATAAAATACCGACGCATGAAGAACGTCGTAGAGGCCACTAGGTCATATTAGCATGGTTATATGAAACTCACAATAGTATCAACTAAAACAATGTTTATGGGATTAACACTACTTTATAGGTTTTATTTTTATAATAAGACCACACAACTTTTCAAGAAACAGGAACATACAATTCAGAAGGGACCTATAATGTTAACTTTATGATTTCGTAGTTTATGCGTTAAAGGTTATTTATATTTATAGGGTCCAATAGGTAGTAGGATGGGTGATTTCCGCTTCATTCCCTGTTCCTTGTTTGGTTGTGGGCTTAGAGCAGATTCACACAGTTTACTATCTATTCGATCTTGGTTATACATGACCTGTATACACTAAGTAATCATAGGGGGAAACAGGTATGGGTCAGGTCACTATATACAAGTACAGTATGCTATTTTCTAGTACAAAACATACTTTTATGAAAGAACGTATAACAAGGTACATGCATACAAAAAGGGTTGCATTACAAACACAACCGTATTACATTACTTTTCCAAGTACGAGTCCACAGAACTTACATTTCATTACATCGGAAAATATAGGATTTTCTGGAAGAATATACTTACATTTCAAAAAGAACCATTACTTTTAACTCTACAAGTACCTAGTGAATGCGTTAGGGTTAAATATACAATGAAGATCCGACAGACAGTGGAATGTGTGATTTCCGCCTCATTCCTGTTCCTTGTTTGGTTGTGGGCTTAGGGCAGAACCACACAGTCGATTGTCTTCTCGATCCAAATAGTATATAGCTTGTATTCACTAAGTACTCGTAGAAGGAACTAGCATGGGTCACATTTCTTACATTCATTACATCAGAAAATATAAGATTTTCTGGAGGAACACACGAAGGTTTTCAAGGAACAAAGAACATGCTTTCTAAAACAAAATGCTTATGAAGTCACCAACTTTAATGTTGACACTTTCAAAACCACTTGTATTCTCAGGGCACTAGTAGACAGGTACTCGCACATGTTCTAGAAGACGGAGCATAGTGGCTTCAAGTCTTTATTTTGCTAATTACTTTCGGAGTCAATCATATGTGATTTAAATTCAATGTAAGCACTATATTACTAATACAATGGTTGTTGTGCTTTGAT